ACTCTTTTAAGAGTTTTTAACTCGTTCTGAGTTCTTAAACTCTTAAGAGAGTTCTTAATCAAACTTACCATATAAGTTAACTGTTCCCGTGAGACAAGACGGTCGGATCATCAACGGAGAGAAAATTCTACGCAAGCACTCGAAGGAGGCACTCTATCGCTACCAAGAAGAACCCAGTTTTAAACAAAAGGAAGAATTAAATTCTTTCTCCTCTCTTTTGTAATCAGAAAATCCAATTGTAACTGAGATTAAAGGAATACAAATCAAATTTTTTCGTTTCTTTTACTGCAAATTTTCCCACAAACAAAAGATGGTGACTCCGCTGGGGACTAGTTTCTCTGACGAGGAAGTTGTGGCGTAATCCGACGTCCACCTCACTAGAACGACCGTCGAAACTCTCATTGTAGAGTTCGACCAAGCCAAGTAGGAGGAGGACCTCTCCTCTGGATCGCTTAGCCCTAAGGCTAGGCGCAACACCCGCAAGATCTCCAAGGAGGTCTTAACTACTACTGAGATGTCAAAGGAAGTCCTCTCCTTTGGCCAAAATTCCAAACTCGTTCAACGAGTTGAAGACTCCACACCCGCATCAACACAGCGTGTCGTAGGTCATAAGAGGCCTATGACGGAGGAAAATCCAATCAACGCTGACGACGTTACAGCCAAGGCGTCAAAGCAAGCCAAGAAAAACACCGCTCGACGAAGGAGAAGATCCATACGGCGAGCGCACTTGCGGAACAACCAATCTCTCACCCAACGCGAAGACTGCGTTTTTGAGCCTCTGCCCGAACTCTGCGTTTCTGCTCCAGAATGCACACTTCATGGTAACGAGCCCGATTATAAGCATCGTGTAATCTAACTTAAACGCGACCCTTAGGGCTGCGTTGTTCAACCTGGACGCACATCTCAGGGGTGTGCCTCAAAAGCAAAACGTGACCCCCAAAGGCACGTTCAACCAACCAAACACACACCACATGTGTGCGTTCAACTAAAAAAAGACCCTCAGGGGTCTGTTTCATCAATCAAATGCACACCACAAGCGTGCGTTCAAGCAAGACAAGACCCTCAGAGGTCTGTTCCATCAATCAAACGCACACCACAAGCGTGCGTTCAAACAAAACGTAACCCTCGCGTTTCTTCTCAAGAACACGATGTGGTCCGCCGAGTTCAAAAGAGCCGACATGGATTCAAAATTCATGCCCAACAAGAATTAGTTCTACCCACTCAAGGACAAGGGGTTCCATCTTCGACCTCACAAGATTCTTCCCAAGTCTCTGATTTGCGTGAACTATTGTCACGAAGGAGACCTACACAACAGGCAGCTCATGCCTGCCAATGTGAGCGGCTTATTTCTACAGTTCTTTCGGAATATCACTGCTGTATATCTGAACCTCGGCAATCCGTGTTTGACAGATTGACGAATATCGTTAGACCTGCCAAACGACAAAGTAAAATCGTTTTTCACGAGCTGAACAGTTTCAAAATTGTTTTTCACGATTTAAAGGGATCACTCCCCAACTTAGGAGCGAATTAAGGGGGCGGTTACACTACTTAATCCCTATAAATGGTAGAAAACTCAACCGAGTTCGGGATCTCCAATTACATCGACTTTTTACATCAAAAAAATTATAAAAAGAGTGATCAACACTCTCTTAAGCAGATCTTTTTTGAAGATCTTCAGATTTGGAGGCTCTTGGAGATCATCTTCGTCGACAACAGAGAGCTTGGAGCTTCGGATCTTTAACCATGGTGTAGGGTAAAAAAAATAAAGTTTGATTGATTCTCTTGTTTTAAGAAGTGGGTTCGATCGCTTAGTATGAATCTCTTACAATTACTCACACTCCTTCGATTACAGATGAAGAGAAGATTGATTCAGCTTTTCTTTTGTTTAAAAGTGGGCTCTTGGTGGCGAAAGGATATTTTTCTCGATGCTCACGTCGAGATTACTTCCCGTTGACAATCAGAACAAGATCACAAAAGCTTCTGATGATCGGTCGATGATCTTCTTTTGCGTAGCAGCGAAAGATCAAGGGTCCAAGGTCTCTCTCTGAATCTAGTCTCTCCAAAGTCCTTTTTCATAGCCGCTCATGGTTATTTATAGGGTTTCAGCACGTAACAAACTTACTAAAATTGTGGGTAGAGCGCACAACTGCCTCATTCAATTCAGCCCACGTCAGTTAGTGGGGCGAAATGTGCTCCTGAAGCTTAGCCCACGTGGATGACTAAGTTTTTAAACCGTTGCAAATGGATCGCCTGCGGACAACGAGCCTCACTGTATGGAGAAGTTTATCTGCTTGAACGAGCCTCAATATGCAGCGAAGTTCGTCTTCTAGGATCAACTTCGTAGTATAACGAATTATCTTCACTGATCTCGTCTGACGAGCTTTGTATTCACCAATGAATTTTGTCTTCGATAGCTAAGTTCTAACTACGTAGCGAGCCTCATTTTTACTAACGAGCTTTAAGTCTGATGATATTCAACGACGAACTCCGAACTTCATATCTTACAACAAACTCCAAACTTTATTTTTAATGATGAGCTCTGAACCTCGTATCCAATGACGAGCTTCGAGCTTCGTTTCTAGTGACGAGTTTCGAACCTCGTATCCAATGACGAGTTTCGAACTTCGTTTCCAATGACGAGTTTCGAACCTCGTATCCAACGACGAACTCCGAACCTTGTTTTTTTGATGTTGAGCTTCGCTGCGTGACGAACCTCATCTTTTGATGTTGAGCCTCGTTGCATGACAAACCTTATAGGCGAAGCTGTCAGGCGAGCTTCAATCAGTTCAGGCGAAGCCAGTCTTACAGGTGAACTTCAGAACATGCTACGAAGAACGGGTCATAACTTTCAAACCATAAGTCGGAATTGGACGAATTATATATGAAAATCGACTATCTCGACGAGACAGAGCCGACCAAATCAACCCCAATGGGTTTGATTTGCTTTTATCCGTTTCGCCAAATTCCTTACGGTTTGAGAGATATTAGCGTTTTTGTCAGTTTTGAGCTTCTTTGTTAGGAATTCAGGCAATTTTTATTACCTACACTTGGCTTATAAACCGATTTTCGGTTAAATCAATCAATTCTTCCATAGAGTTATAACTCGCTCAGAGTTCCCTAACTCGTTAAGAGTTTCAAACTTGCCACACAAGTTCATCCAAGACTTCGAGTCAAGAGGCGAAGCCAACGTTCTACGAGGTGAAGCGTTCGGATCATCAACGGAAAGAAAACTCGACACAAATATCGAGCGAGGCATTCCATCAACACCAAAAAGAACCCAGGTTAAACAAAGGGAATGGTCTCCGCCGATCATTCTCTCTTTTGAAAATTGGGAATCCGATACAAGAATATTGTAATTTTTTTTCTAAGTCTGTTAGAGAGAAATTATATTGAGAGATTTCTTTTTTCTAAGTCTGTTAGAGAGAATCATACAAATTCAATTCTCTATTTTTTTTCTTCAATTTTCCTACAAACAATAGTGCTTTTAATTCTTCGTATAAATTCATGAGAATTAGATAGGGTTAGAGATCTATCACGATTAGGAGTTTAGCTTTTATCATGATTAGGAGTTTAAATCTTATTCTAATTAAGAAGTTAGGCTAGAGATAAAGTTTTGGTTTCCCTATATATATTCTTCTATTGTTGAAGAAAAAAAACTAAGAAGTGTAGAGAGAGAGGGGGTTTGGCGGTCTTTGTCCGTGCAAAAGATTGTAATTTAAAGGTAATAGTGGATTGATTTTAATCCCGTGGTTTTTCCCGTTAAGGGTTTTCCACGTTAAATTTTGTGTGATTCTATTTGCTGCGTTTAGTTGCTTTTCAGGGTTTTGCCGAGATCTAAAAATCCCTACATATTGTTGGTAGTAACATTGAATGGATATTAATAAATTGAATAATATTATTTTTAATAATATTCATTCAGTGTATTACGAACAATAAAATAGTGATACTAATGAATAAGTGATTGTATCCTTAAAAATTTAGGATACTAATTGTTGTCTCACTTTCACTATTAGTTATTATTTTATTTATAGTACAGTACGAATGTAATCGACGCTAATGATATATAATCAATGACATTGTAATATCTATTTAGTAGTATTAATGTTGTCTAATCGTTTTTTGCTAACCACTGTCCTTAGGGCAATGGTTAACAAATTAATCCAAATTTTTATCATAAAAATCAGTGACTAACAACATTACTCGTATCATCATTAGTATTCTTATCACTGATAATTATAACTTAATCAAGAAGTGTTAATAAAGATTAGAAAAATAAAAGCATCATAAATTCATATTTAATATTAACAAATAAAAGCATCATATACTTATTTATCTCATCTTCAATTTCATTTCCTAGTTAAAAAAAAAAAACTAAAAAACTATATAATATTAAAAATAGTCTACGCAGACCTTCTGCATTATCACATCATCCGCTTAGCATTATTTAAGTTTGATATTGACAAATACAACCCCCGCAATTGTGTTGGTTGCCACTGTCACCCTCCGTTCATGTGCCTGTTCTTTGGAATGTAGCTTATTTTCAGCGAGGATTGTGGAGAAGATGAAGCTATCAAATGAGGAAAGGAGGGACAGAGTGCAAATTTACAGGGGGTCTATCTGCCACAAATCTTTAATGGTATGATATTTACTCTAAAAAGAGCAGGCTTGTCAATATCAAACTTTAAGGAAGTTATCTTATAATTAGCACAAATAGAGGCAGTACTAGGTTCTATGTGCATTTAATACATTAAGAATAAGAAATATCTTTCTTTTTAGAATAAGATACACTATTAAAATCTCATTGAGAGATGGAGGGTGCAGCAGCAGAATCAAGGCAAGTGGAATACCTGAAGTGACCAAGAATAGAGAAGTGACTGCACAAAATGGACAAAACGTGGGTTGCACTGTTCTAGGGGATCCCTGCAGAGCTCAAAATGTAAACATTTAAAGAAGGAAAAAGAAAGAAAGAACCCTTTAATTGTCTGAGCTGCTAGCTCAAAGATGCAGAGAGCATGCAAGAAATGCATTAAGAAATGCTTGAGGGCTCATGGGGAAAAACCCAGTTCCTCATTTTCTTCAAAAGTTTCTGCGGTCCCCTCTTTCTTCAAGATCATGATTGGTGATTTTGGAGAAGCCTTGGTATGGAATTTATGCTATTTTTTTTCCCCTGTAAAATGTGGGGTGTGAGATTGTGGGCTGTGGTTGTTTGAAAAGTTGTAATCTTGATGGAAATTTTTAGTTTTATGGTTGCTTTTGGGGGATCAATTGAGGCCATCTTGGGTAAATCAAGGGACCCATAAGTAAAAATTGTAACTTTTTATGATTTACTTGTGTATTCAGACAAGTGTGCATGGTTTTTCACTTCTTTCACTGCTAAACCCTTTAATTTGTTACCTTTTTTGTGCTTCCTCCCTCAGTTTATTTGTCAACATGATTATAAATTTTTAGTGTCAATTAGCTTACTGTGACTAATGATTGTGCCCTATGCTTTAATTTGATATGATGTGCATAGGCACATATAGATAAGATTAATGTAGAACTAAACTGATAATCCACACAATCTTCACATTTACTCATTGCATATAACACTAAGGATGGACTTGTATTTTTTTTTTTTTTTTGTGATGACACATATTGTTTGAGTATTTATTACATGATATCATGCACTTGGAGTTCTTCTGGATACTTTTATCTAACTCCAAAATCCCATCTTGTAGAACCTGCTTGCATTTCTTCCCTGCAAATAGCGTAAATTTAAAAATGTTCATTAATTTAAGGACAATATTCATGAAGCACCACCATCTTGTTTTTGAAAAAGGGCAGACTCCACGAATTAATGGTGTTTATTTTGAATTGCTACAATCTTGGCGTTGCATCTAGGCTCCTTTGCAGTCTGCTACATTTATTGTGATTTGAATTATTTTATATTCTACAGTAAATGGTTGATTAAGATATAACTATGTTATGAGAGTTCAAATATTTGAGCTTGTTCTGCATTGCCATTATACTTTTCATTCTCCTAACTCTTTTCTTTTCTACCTGCCTCTATATTTGCAGTTCATTCCACCAACTTTTGCTCGAACTTTACAAGGCCTCATTAACAAGAAAATTTATCTTGAAGATTCTGCTGGAAACCGTTCAATAGTAAAATTAAGCGCGACAAAAGATGGTTCTCTGATCTTTAAACAAGGATGGCATGATTTTATATTGGATCATTCAATATCTTTGGGAGAAATTGTTATTTTTAAGCACATCGGTATATCTCAATTCACTGTCCAAATTTATGGCACTAGTGGCTCTGAGAGATTTCAGTTCAAAGGAGAAGGAAATAACAACAAACGAAAAAGGAAAGAGAGTAAGAATGAAGCTTCCCCTAATATTTCGCCTCTAAGTAAAGCTAAGACAAATTGTGAAGCTTCAGAAAGAAATCATAATGCTTCCGATGAAGATGCTGGCAGAAATTCTCCCATAGTCTTGTCTGATGATGATAAAGTTATGGAAAAACTTACTAAAGATGGATCTAACAGATGGGTGAAAAAATCAGCAGAAAATAATATCGAAAATAGAAAGAAAAATCTGATTGTTGATAAAAGGACAACCAGGAGATGCTTGTATGCTACTGAGAGAAAATCGTCGAATGTGCGCAAGGAGGCAGAATGCGAGCAAGAGATATTCAAAATACCTCCAGGGTTTTCTTGGTCTCATAAAGCATCAAACGAAGGGAAAACGTCAATGAATAAGCAAGCAATGGAAGTAGAATGTACCAAGGATATGAAAGAAGATTCGGGTTTAGAGAAAAACTGTTCTGTGATAAATACGAGTTTTCGAGATACAAAGGCAAATGAGAAAAAATTAGCTGATCAGTGTAATAGCCTCAAAAGACCCAAACTTGTTTCCAGAAGACCCAAAATTGTTTCAACATTGGATAATAATAATAAGGATGAAATGAGAACCGAGATTGACGACTGGGCAATAGTCACATCTCCTCTCTCTAAGGAAAAATTATCCGTTGTGGAATTCTCACAAGAGAATAATGTATTTATGAAAGATCAGATTGAAAAGGGGAAACCCAAAGGAGATGATAGTTCAGAGCCTAATAGTATTGAAAAATCTGAAAATGAAGCTCCACAGGAGTTTGCTAATGAGGATGAGGATGAGAATCGAATTGTATCCAAAGAGTTTGGTAATGAGGATTCTAAGGATGAAGTTGAAGTGAAGAGTGATGCTACGATTAGCTTATTGGCTCCAAAAGAGGATTGTAAAGCTTTGGGTGCTGAGAAAGAAGAAGTAACAAGTAAAGGTTCATCTCTACATGAAAATGGCATCGAAGCACCATCATGCTCTCCGATATTGAATTGCAAAGATAATGACCAAGACGATCTCCCGCTATTGCTTGAGGGGATTATTAATGACAATCAATCTGAAGGAAAGTTGGGTTAGTACGTTCAATTAATTTTTTTTTTTGAGATTATCCATACATTTTGCTATCTATTTTCTTCTTACCATATCAGAAAGGAAAAATTATTACATACTACGATTGCAGAAATTAACTTATCCTAGAGAGAGATAGTCTGGTTTGATTTATAAGTAGGGTTAATTGCGAGCAGACCCCTTGTACTATTGCTCAATTGAGATAGAAACCCTCAGTTATATTGTCCTAGATGGACCCCCTTAGGGGCTGTTTGGTTGTATGTTTTTACCATGTAAAAGGATGTAAAGTATAAAAAAAGTGGGTCCCAATGTCAGCTTTCATCACTTTCAATTGTTTGTTTGTAGTTGTGAAAATATTGTAAAGTGATTTCATATGCTGATGTGGCTTGTAAAGTGATTTCATGAAAAAAAGACATGATTTTAGGAGAAAGCTAACATTGAAGTTAGGAAAAAATAATAAAAAATAATTCCAACCAATATGATCATTTGAATAGGGATCACTTTTTACACTTTCCAAACAAACAATTAAAGTTTTATTTTGCAAACCAAACAAGTGTTTTATGATTCCAATGGAATAAAAAACAAACAAAGAAAAGTATAAAAGTGAAATTGATGAGGTGGACAACAACTTTCCAAGTTATGTCATAAAAACACAACTTTACCAACAACAACCAAACAGCCCCTTAGTGATTTTTTTTTTCTACTTCTTTTATCCTCAGGAGGTATATTCGTCAAAAAAAAAAGCATTTTCCTTGAGGGTGAAGGAGTCAAAAAAATTTCACTCGGGGTTTATTTGCAACAATAGAGCTAAAGGCTAGCTAATGTTTTAATTTTTTTGAGAAATTTCTTTCCATTTCTTGATCCGCTACATTGTTAGGAAAAAAAATGAGGCTTGCATTCTGAAATCAGGATATTTAGTACTGTTTATAACCTGATGTTTTTTTTATTACTTGCTGGTGAATTCCCAGAATTGGATGATAAGAAGGTCAGTCCCTGCTCAAAAGGAGAGGCTTCAGAGGTTGTTAAAGCTAAAGAAATGGATCCAATTGATTCTACGACCGTAAAAAATACTGATTTCAGCATTACGGTTTCTCTGATTTCTCAGACTTGGCTTGTGAGTGACTCCTCAATTATTTGCAACTTTGTAGAATATTCAAGATTTCTTTAATAGTAATTAATACTTATCAGCATCATTCACAATAAATGATTAAGAATTACGAGAAATTTTACATCCATTTTCTTGGGAATTTTTTTCTGTTGTTTTAGATATGGAATGAGAACATTATTGGTTTTCTTGATTTCCTAATAGAAGATAGATTTCTTCTACTGCTATATTTTGTAAGTTATACCTTGATAGTCACATAGACATGAGAAATCATCCACCATAAATTCTGAAGTTTAGAGCAGATAAGAGCATGTTTGGCAAATGGTCAAGTCGCTTTTGTGGCTTATATAAGTAACCTTGAGATGTTTGGCAAGTAGCTTATTTCGGCTTATACTCCACCAAAAAATTTGTTGAGATTTGAACAAGTAAAAACACAACTACACCCCTTATGATTTCACAAAATCCAAGGCCTCATTTAATAACTCATCACCAAGCCCACATCCTTTTTGGTCATTTTGATAACAATTATACCCCTTATGATTCCACCAATTTACGATACTCTCTACTACTGGAAATGGATTATAATCCACTAAATTTACCAAACATTCTAGATTATAATCCACTTGTGGATTATAATCCAAGTTCCGGAACATGCAAGATAATTCTTTGACATAATTGAATTTGGTTAATTTCACATAGACCCCTTCAGTAGTGTTGTTTTGAACTTACTAGCCCTGTAGTTTCATGGTTGCAGATAGACCTCCTGCTTAAAACTTTTTCTCTCATTTTCCCTCAAGACTCACAAATTTCACCCAAGGGCAATATCTGCCAAGATTTCACCAAGGGTGGTAGCGTTAAAAAAAAAAAAAAACCAGGGATTCTGTCTGCAGCAATGAAACTTACAGGGTAGTAAGTGCAAAACAACAATACTACTGTTCTTATCTTAATTACATGATTTTTATGACGATCGTTATTTTCCTTGCAGCTTTTGCCTGAAAAATTACCAGCTTGTCCCTTAAGAAAGAGATGTCTAAGGAAAGTTGTTGTTCTTCAAGATCCATCCATGAGACTGTGGCCAGTTCTCTACCATGAAAGCTTTGAATTCATAGGCTTCATCGGTGGCTGGGAGGATTTCGCTACGGCAAACAAGCTTCAACAAGGTGATACTTGTCAAATTGAATTGGTTAGTTCATCAGAACCTACCTTTAAAGTTCAGTTCTCGAGTTCTCAGAATCCAATGTGAGTGACGTAAATTGTACGTACATGTTTTGTGATCTCTATCAGAACCTGAATGGTTTCGAAGATCTTTTGTTTGTATTGTAAAGGAAGCTATAAGGCAATGAATCTCCTCATGTTGAAGTATCTACATTTATCTTTATTTTAAACTGGGAGGTTTTTTTTAAGACAAAAATTGGAAGTTTTTCTATGTGATCTATCAATTCTGGTGAAATAATGATGGTAGAATTTCAAATTTCCTTGTTTTGTGGGTAATTGAGAGTCATGAAAGAGAAAATGACTACTACCATGAAGTCGTCAACCATAAAAATTGTAAATTCCTGCTTAAGTGGTAATTCTAGTGCTGATGACTTCAAAAACTCTTGTGCTTGATTCAGCCTGTAGGGAGCTTAAAAGAATGGTTTGCTTGGAGAATAAAATGGAAGGACTTAAATTTATCCATGAAAATATAGCTAGTGATTTGGATTTATTTTCATAATAAATGCTAAGCTTCAGTTGTTCACTGTCATATACAACCGGGCAATGGAATAGAAATCCTATCAGAATTGCTCCTATAGGTGTGGAACCGCTCGTATAGATGTGGAGTGATTTGCACCGTAAATATTTTAGCTAAAATTCTCAAATTAATTATCTAACATCCATAAATGGTATAGATCATAGAAGTCATGAATGTGGGAAGCTTTAGCGAACTACGACTTTGGTTCAATAATTGTCCTAAATTTGCGTGGAACACGAACCAATTCAGCAGCTCTAGTGACCCGACTTTAGAATTCAAATTAGTTAAAACTTAAAAAAATAATTCTTTTTTAAAAGAATAAACAACAAAAAAACGTGAGAAATTACGGAAAAAAAGTATGCACACCTTAGTTGCAACATGATTCTCAATGTTCTTTTAATATTATTGGTATCAACAAGCATATTTTTAAAATTTTACTCTTGCAAAACCTATGATTCCTATGTTAGACCCTAATGCCACTAGGAAAGAACCCTAGAGGGGGAGAAGGTGAATAGGGCTTATGCTAATCTAATCCGATTTTATGCCGATTAAAAACTTATTAACAAGTTATCCTAGCAAATAAGGTATGCAATGAATTATTAGTAAAAATAAGCAAAATAAACAAGGGTGAAATAAACAAAAACAAACAAGAGTGATAGTGCGCAAATAATCCAACACAAACACAAGCAAATGATCACGGAGTTCGGTCTTTCCGACCTGCGTCTCCGCTCCCCACTCTCAGGGAGAATCCACTACACAACCTGGTTTTCGACGCTTACCCGAATAACATTTACACCTCACATTCGGTTTTCTAGCTCACCGAAAACTCTACAATCTCACACTCTTACAATCACACTCTACACCCTCTAAGTGTTGGTCTCTAGCCTGTGTCTCCCTTAGGTACTCGGATTTACAACCTTTCCCTAGGCTTTACTACCGACGTCACTCCTCTTGGGACGACCCCGTCTCTTACCGCATACTCCTCTTGATGTACAAGTAAGTGTATTACAAAGTGATCTCACAAATTAAGCACAAATACAAAGTTTGTTCTCTACAATAGATGAGAACTCAATTAAGGCTCACTCTCAATGTCACAATCCTACAACCCTAATATATACTATGTATGTAAATACAATAAGCTCAATAGATTATGTGTGAACAATGAGTATAATCAAAATAAACTAAACTCAATATAAATCTAGCTTAAGGAAATGAAAATCAAACATATAAATAGCTAGATAAGAGTTTAGAAAAACTTCTCTAGATGACAAGAGAGAGGGAGAAGAGTTGAATGCTCAAACACCAATGGATGATCTCCTCAAGCTCTTGTGAAATTCTCTTCACAAAACCAAACTTGTAAAATGCTTAAAATCTTCTTAATCAAACTTAAAAATCATTAAACAAACTTGTATGAAACTCACTCAAACACCATGAAAAACAAATGGGAGGAGAGGGCTTTTTATAGCCTCTCAAACAAGCCAAAAACCCACAAAAACACCCCAAAACCCCCCAAAAACCCCAAAAACAAAAACTAGCCATTACTATCCGTTATAGGCTGAAAGGACATGATCAGTTGACTAATACAATGCTGTCGGGACTGATCAATGTCGTTGACAGATTTTGGGCATTTCTAGAAATTTTTGTGTATCTGACTTTGTAACATTAATTAAAAAATAGTAAATTCAACTCTAAAAATCATTGAAATTTTCAGTTGAGGTTTTATATATATATATATATACTATATATATATATATATATATATATATATATATATATATATATATATATATATGAACATGTTAGAGAAGAAATTTCTGAAATATCACTTCCTATTTTTGATAAATAAATGTTTTAAAATAGATATTCCATATTTTGAAAACTGCTAAAACACCTGATTTTGTAAAATCAATTCAGCATAGTAAATCAACTCCAAAAATAATAAAATTTTTGAAAATGGTTGTAAACATGTAATAGAACATGTTAGAAAATGAATTTTTTAATTTTAATTTCCCATTTGTGAGAACTTATCTGTTTTGCAAAAACATGCACGAATATGTGTATAAATTTCTTGATTTTTGACTTTTGAGTTAAACAATATTTTGAAACCTTATAAAATGATTTCATAGAATTAATAAAAGATATATATAATGATTGTTAAGTCCATAAACCCATAACTCAATATTTTTTTAAAATTACTCAAAAACAAGAATCGTGTGTATGTGTGATATTGAGCTCAAAGTATTTAACACACAAGTATAAACACCTAAACTAAAATATACCCGTGTGTATGTGTGATATTGAGCTCAAAGTATTTAACACACAAGTATAAACACCTAAACTAAAATATACCCAAGATGATAAATCTTCAATATAGCAAAGTATTTAACACACAAGTATAAACACCTAAACTAAAATATACCCAAGATGATAAATCTTCAATATAGCGCAACTTGGATGCGGATGAAGCTTGATCTTGAATTTGACTTGAATTACAAATGGCTTCATACCGATATTCTGCCAACCTCCATTTGATGTGATCGTTTAGCTCAATTCCATCCAACCTTCAACACATTATTTGCCTAGAATAAATAAGAAAACACAAATACTAGACAAACAATATTAGTTATAAATTGTTTGTAAAAACATCATCATCAAAACAAAAATGCCAACATCCTACACTTAAGAACCAAACTTAAAGTGTCCAATGTCCCCTAGTTTATCGTATAAGCCAACCCCCCCACCCGATTCATGATGAGTGGCGTACCATGCTTCCGTACTTGTCTCGTGAACCGGAATTAAGAAAATAAAGTATGCACGTCTTAATTGCAACATGATTCTCAATGTTGTTTTAATATTATTGGTATCAACTAGCATAATTTTTAAAATTTACTCTTGCAAAACTTGTGATTCCTACATTTAAGAACCAAACCTAAAGTGTTCCACGTCCCCTAGTTTATCGTATAAATCTACCCCCCTTATACCCGATTCCTGATGAGTGACATACCATGCTTCCGTACCCGTCTCGTGAACTGGAATGAACCTAGTTCCATGCAGTTATAGTATAGATCACTCATTATATTATAATGAGGACGATCTGATAGAATCTCTACTCCTGACGATGTCCATACTGATAATTTGGGCTTTGCATAAAATTAATATATTTAGCTTGTCTAATTCACAGCCGAAAGCCAGTAGAGAAGTATAACTACAACCACTAATTGGGTGGTGAAAAGGCCTTTTCTTGACAGTGAAGGAAATTCACTCTTAACCAAGATGATCATACTAATTAGCCGAGCTAAACTTGTGCTCAGAAAACACTAGCTAGCTATGTTTCTTATCATTTTCTTCAATGTAAGATCAAATGCTTGCTAACTAATGAACAGACCAGTCAATTTCCATACCCTTTATCAGTTAATATTTCTACAATAATATAATATTGGTAGAAAAGGTCTTGAGCTGAGAACAACTTCACCAAACCTCAGTTTGTAGCTTTGTGAGAACATTTTCAAGGGCATCATGATTCACTGTGATAACTACTGAATTGACAACCACCATCCTCAATAAAAAGTTGGGGAAGAAAACCATTATATTCTTATTCACTGGAATCAGCATGAATTCAATCAAACAAGGACTTGTGGAATGTTTGCTATACTATTCTGATTGTGATAGCCCACGCGTGAAGATAATTAGTTTGGCGGAATTTAGATGGTTTTGGTAGTTAAGTTTTGACATTAAGTGATTTATGAGTGTAGTTTTAAATTAGCAAAAAAAAAAAAAAATGGAAAGATTATTTCAGAGCATTTACTTTTAAGTTTTGAGCATATGCTTCAAGCAAAAGGCCCCGTGGTTGTAAGCCAAGGACAGGTTGTACATCCTGATTCCTGTCAAACTTCAGGGTGCATTCCAGAATCTATTCAGCCGACACCCAGCACTACTTTCCAGAACATTCCCCTGTTTTAGGGGCTGTTTAGTTCAACAAAATTTTTTGCATTTGAGGTGGATTTAAAATTTTTAGAACAAAGAGTGTCTCATTTTTATTTATATAGAGTGTTTGTTTCAAAAAAAAATTTACCATTAGATATCCATAAAAAAAGTAGGAATTTTTGGAATTTGCCAAAATGCTACAGTTTGGAGAGGATTTGTCAAATGCTAAAAATTTAAAGTTTTTGACTTAGATATCCATACGATTTGTACTATCCTGTATTTTGGGTTTGAACCAAATAAGAACTTGTGAATTCCAAGATTTGTTTTCCTCTAATCATGTTGAGTCAAACAAAAGATTAGGAATTTTAAAATATGTATGGAGACCTATGGATTTGAAATTCTTGATGAGATTCTAAATTCTATAATTTTAGGTTTTGAACCAAATAGCCCCTAACCACACCGTAAATTTCAATTTTGGCCATGAATTTAAAGCTCTCTGTGCGTGTGTGTGTATTATACATATAGACACACACACACAACAGCTTACATGAGTTTAGGTTTCGACCCATAAAAATAACCTGCCAGGACATTTACAGTATAAAATTATAATAGTTAATCTTCGCAATAACTTTAGAGTTTTGATATACTTAAAAGATCATTGACATTTTCAAAATTTGTATTGTCCACCTTAATCATTG